CCATTTGCAACACTTTCTGAGCTTGTTTTTATTTTCCTTGACATTTGACTAGAATTGATTTAATTTCACGTGTACACACAAAAACACATGATCTTGCTTTATGGTTGCTAATGTTTTAAACACGGGCAATATATTGGAGACTGTAAATACTCTGCCTTCTTGAATTAGACACTCTTGGGCCCACATGTATACACATATCACAAACCTTAGAGAACACTGAACAAGAGTACATTATAGTATCATCTTCTTCAGCATTTTCTCTCTGATTCTCCATCTTGATCTCCAGGAATAATTTTTATATTGCTTCTTTCATGTGTTTACTCATGGAATCTGGTCTCTGGGGCCCACATTTTTTAGTGCAAGACAGAGAGTAAGAATATGTTCATAGGCTGGGCATGGTGGCTCATGCCTGTAATCCCAGCACTTTGGGAGGCCGAGGCGGGCAGATCACAAGGTCAGGAGTTCGAGACCAGCCTGGCCAATATGGTGAAATCCCGTCTCTACTTAAAAATATATATATATAAAAGTTAGCTGGGCCTGGTGGCGTGTACCTGTAGTCCCAGCTACTCAGGAGGCTGAGGCAGGAGAATCGCTTGAACCCAGGAGGTGGAGGTTGCAGTGAGCCAAGATTGCGCCACTGCACTCCAGCCTGGGTGACAGAGTGAGACTCCATCTTAAAAAAAAGAATATGTTCACAGATGATGACTGAAGAAAGAATTGTGCAGGATTAGACACTTCAGTACAATGGACCAAGAGCACTTTGTTGACATTTTTCCCATTACCTTTATTTATAGCATTCATGGAGTTCAGAGAGAAAGCAGGAGAGGGTTGTGGTAGTCTGTGCCATATACTTGAGGAGAAGGGAGCCTCATAAGAAAACAGGGCAGGAGTGGGATGGCCCGCTGGAAAGTGATTATGAAGCCCATGAGGACAAAGAATGTGAAATGGAATAAGACAATCTAGTTAGGTTTATAAACAGAAGGAAGAGACTTTGAACGTTCATCATACATAGTTGAGGTGATATAAAAAGAATACCCACATAGAGGGAAAAAGTCCTGGAGTTGGGAATCTGCTAGGAATGAACCTGGATTAAGCCTATGGCTTCAGGAATGGAAAGAATAAGGGAAAGGAATTATGAAAACATACTGAGCAATACTTGGCATATTATTGGATGGAGAAAATACTGCCCTGATAGGTAGTGAGTCAAAAATCATTCCCAGTTTTCTTGCTCTAAAACTGGTTCTCAACTTGTAGCAGCCATCAGAATCACCTGGAGGAGGAGACGCTGCTGCTGGTGGTGGCCCAGAGACCACACATTGAGAATCACTGCTCTAGAAAACCATCTGTCTTTGCTGATGGAGAAACCTGGCTCTAATAGAAAGCAACTGAGGAGGAAAGGAGTTGCTTGGCTTCAAGGCTATCCATCAAAAGATCATGATGAGTTATACAGTATTCAGCTATGTATCTCTGAATTCAGCCAAGCTCTTTTACATAAGAATGCAATTTCCTAATTAATTCAGGATATATGTTAAATTCCTAAATTGAGCGATATGAATTTTTAGGTGGTTTTGTTGTTGATGGTAATGGGTTGATGTTTAAGACAGTTGCTGCTTATCTTGAGAAACCATGAACTCTCAAAATGTTTCCCAAGGGAAGGGCTCCAGAGAGAAGAAAGGAAGCCATTATTTCCCCTATGTCAAAATGAAATGCTCAGACCTCTGAAACCTAAATAAATGAACAAATAAAAGACAAAAGCATAGATGAGATCAGCCTTCAAATCTACAAAGGCAAAATAATCAAAACTAAGGTGTAAATTACAATGGTGATAAGAGAATTTAAGAATATAGAAAAATTATTTTAACAGAGAAACTGTGTTCCTCCAGGGCCTGTAGTTCAAAATTTTGTAATGCACAATGATCCACCCCCAAAAATTGAATATATATTCAGACCCTAGAACTGCAATATTTAAACCAGTGGTTCTCAACTATTAGTGAGCATTAGAATTACTTGAAGAGTTTAATAATAAACACAGATTTGGGGGTCCCCCTCCCCCTTAGAGTGTGTGAATCAGATCTGGGTGGACTCAGGAATTTGCAGTTCACACAATTCCCAGATGATGCTGATGCTGGATATTTGGGACCATACTTTAGGAATTGCGGTTTTTGCTCTATGATTCACAACTTGGTCACATACTAGAATTATCTGGGGAGCTTGCTTTTTAAACTTCAATTCATAGGCCACACCTCAAAACAATTAAAATTATAATCTCTTGGGGTGTGAACCCAGGCATCAGTAGTTTTTGAAGTTCTCAAGTGTCTCCCATGTGCAGCCAAAGTGGAGAATTTCTACTTATATTAGTAGTTGTCAAATTTCAGCACACATTACCTGAAAGACTATTAAAACATAGATTCCGGGGCCCGTCTCATGGAGTTTCTGATTCTGTAAGTCTGGGTTGGGCCCAAGAATTTGCATTTCAACCAAGTTCCCAGATGATGCAGTCAGTCCTGGGATCATACTTGGAGAACCACTGGTAAGACCAACTTCAACCCTGGCTGTATTTGGAATCTACTGGAGAGCTGGCAAAAAAAAATACGAAAGTTGGCTCCATTCTCAAAAACAAAAGAAAACCAGATTGGGATATAATTAGTTTGGGTTGGGGTCTGGCATAAATATGTTTTTAAAACTTCCCAGTGAGTCTAATATGCAGCCGAGACCTGGAATCACTGCAAAACCAAGCAAGGTTTTGCAGTAAATGTATCACCTGTCATGTTTGCTTGTCATCTGAATTTAAAATGACCTATTCTAACCAGAATATATTTCAACTGCTATATGCAGTATCTTTATTGAAAAAATATACTACATTGAAATAAATGTAAGATCATGATGTTCATTTCTGAATTTAAGAAACAGGGCCAGGCACAGTGGCTCACGTCTGTAATCCCAGCTACTCAGGAGGCTGAGGAAGGAGGATCGCTTTAGTCCAAGGATTCAAGGTTATCGTGAGCTATGATTGTACCACTGCACTCCAGCCTGGGCAACAGAGCAAGACCTATCTCAGAAAGGAAAGGAAGGGAAAGGGAAGGAAAGGAAAAGGCTAGGTTAAGCCAGGAGGGGATTCTGCCCACCCCTTCTATTGCTATAAATGCAACATACTGTCTGAAATTTTTTAATGTTACATGGTAACCCACCGCTTTGGTGATCTGCAGCCAATCATGTAAACAGAAACATTATAACCTTTATTATAAAAGCAGTTTCCTTTAAATGAGAAATTACACTTATATCTAAATAAACTTGAAATCTGATCAAACACCCTGGCCCCAAGAAAATAACTCTGGGTTTGGACAACACAACCTAGAGTAACGTTTTACTGCCACTTGATGTTTCTGAATATACAGGGTCATTTTAAATCACATAATATGGAAATAACTTGTCTGCTACGGACAGTAAAAGCTGAGATTTGGGAATGGAGTTGGGGTGTGGATGGGGAGAGCACCAAAAGGAGTCGTCTTTTAACTGGGGCTTATTCGGACAGCTCCATGATATCAGTTAGATACATATTTGTAAATAGTTACTTTCTACTTCAATTTTCACAGAAAATAGTGATACTATTGTGTTTTGGCAGCTGATTTAATAAGTTACCATTCACCACCCTGCTAAAATATACTATGCAAGGTCCACTTCTTGTGCCTCAGAAATTTAGCACTGGAAAAGAGCTTAGAGCTCATTGAATCTCCTAATTTTATAGTTTAGGACTGACTTTACACCCACTAGAGTGGCTATAACCAAAAAGACAAACAATAGCAAATATGGGTGGGAAGCTGGAGAAAAACTAAAACCTCACAGTTGGGAATTTATTGCCAATTTGGAGCAGTTTGACAGTTTCCTTAGAAGTTAAACATAAATTTACCATCAACTGAGCAATTCTGCTCCTAAGTTATCTATTTACCCAAGAGAAATGAAAACATGTTCACACAAAGACCTGCATGTAAATGTTCATAGCAGCATTCTTCATAGTGGCCAAAAGGTGGAAACAATTCAAATGCCCATCAACTGATGAATGGATAAACAAAATGTGTTTATACCCAGCAATAAAAAGGGAAAACTGAGGATACATGCCACAACCTGGATGAACCTTGAAAACATGCTGAAAGAAACCAGACACAAACGATGACATATATGATTCCATTTATATGAAATGTCTAAAACAGGCAAATCCGAAAATAAATTAGTGGTTGCTTAGAACTAGGGAATGGGAGAGGTTAGCGTTATGGGGTGGATTAATAGCTAAAGGGGACGGGTTTGGGGGATTTGAGGACGAAAATGTTCTAAAATTGGTGATGGTTGCACTATCGGTAAATATGCTAAAAACCGTTGAATCATACACTTCTAAAAATATTTTTATTTTTATTTATGTATTTATTTATTTTTGAGACGGAGTCTCACTCTGTCACCAGGCTGGAGTGCAGTGGCGCAATCTCAGCTCACTGCAACCTCCACCTCCCCGGGTTCAAGCAACTCTCCTGCCTCCGTCTCCTGAATAGCTGGAATTACACATGCGCACCATCACGCCCGGCTAATTTTTGTATTTTAGTAGAGACGGGGTTTCACGATGTTGGTCAGGCTGGTCTCAAACTCCTGACCTCAAGTGATCCGCCTGCCTTGGTCTCCCAAAGTGCTGGGATTGCAGGCGTGGGCCACCACGCCCAGCCGAATCATACACTTTAAATAGGTAAATTGCGTGGCATGTGAATTCTAAATAAAGCTGTTATAAATATATATATATATATATATATCGGAGTGTAGCGTCCTGGGAACTCAGACGCAAATTTCCATCAGCCTGTCTGTGAAATCACCTTGGCCGAGGCGACCGCTAAGCGCATGCGCACGGGGCAGCCACCAGCTAGTTAGGGTGAACCCAGGTTAGACGCACCCAGGCTAGAAGCGCCCGGCTCTTGGCCCTCGCTGTTCTGCCCGCTGTCGCCGCTGTTTGGCGCCCCGCAACAGCCCCCTCTCAGCAGGACGCGGAAAGGGCAGAGTCCATGTCTCTTGCATATACTATAAAGAAAGCGCGTTCCCAGCGGCGCCCCGACAGCCCTTAGGCAGACGTCCCGCAGAGTCCCAAGTCCCCACGGTGGGCCCGCGGGCTCCTGAGCTGTCCAGGCCCCTAAACTATCACAAGGAGGATATTTGATGACCGTCTTTCTTCCCTCGCTCTCTCCCAACAAAGGGTAACTGACCTCTCGCGTGACCTGGCCAGCGCTGAGGTTCCCTAAACATGCTTTCCCCTTATTGTGTGCAGACCCCCACAGGGCGGAGGCGAGCGGCGCGACCCACTGGACGGACGCGGCCCGGAGCCCCGGGCGCCTGGACCTGGCGGGCCCTCCCTGGGCGGGCGGGTGGCGCGTCGCCCGCGGCCGATCCGGGCGGGGGAGGGGGGGCGCTGTAATTGCGGCGCAGCTCGGGTTCCCACGCTCCTATTGTTGGCGACTTTGTTTCCAATTCCCATCACGTGTGCTAATTAGTTAGAGCTGCTGGCTGGCTGGGAGGCGTGTGGCTGGCCTAAAAGCAGAAAGATCACTTCCTGTAGGGAGCCGGACAGGCTGAATGCTACTGGGGCTTCTTTCTCTCTCCTCCTCCTCTGCGCCTCCTTCTCGGCCTCCCAGGAGGGTGGGAGAGGGAAGGGAAGGGGAAGAAATGCTGATTGCCGAACAAATGCCACTGAATTGCAATAGCAACCAAAAAGCCAGGGTTAGGGGGTGGGTTGGGGAATGGAAGGGGGAGAGTAAGAGCGGAGAATAGTGGAAGAAACAGGATTAAATGAGAAATTCACATTAGATCTCTAATGCTTTACAAAACGCCGTTCACAATTTTGATCAGTTAATCTCGTCAAGATTGGGTTAATGGAGGAATTTTTTTCATTTCCTCCATTCATGTTCAGTTTTTAAAAATCTGTGTTTACCCTCTGAATAAAGCAAGCACAGGCATCATTGTACGCTAGGAAAAGAGAAAAAAAGTGAAGCAAGTCATGTTTTTTGAGTCAGTGACTTGCCTCTCGACCTAAGCTGCTGAGTTCTATTCATTTTGGCACTACACTTTTAGAAGGGGTGCAGTGAGGTGTCAGAGACTAACGGAGGATGGTAGAAGTTTGAAAAATATACATGGGCCCATTACAAGAAAATGGTGCTATGTTTTTTGGCTTGTTGTTGGGTTGCAAGATTTAGGAATGCTCTGATTCTCCTTATGGAAGTCTCTACTTTGAAAATACCATAATATCCATACTTCCCTATAAACGAGAGGAAAGTGGGCATTTGTAAGAACTCACCTTATATGTGGTAGCAATAAGGGAGGAGATTTTGTCCTTTCTTTTGGAAAGTGGTGGAGGAATGAGGTCAAGAGTAACTCCATTCAACACGCATTTAGCAAGGATGCTTTGAGCATCTCCTCTGTGCTAGGCACTGGGCTAGGGCTAGAGGCAGAGAGATAAAACATCCAGAACCTATCCTTAAGTAGCTTACAAATCTAGTTGAGGAGACAGATATGTATGTAGAGCAACAATTAAGGATGACTCAGAAATGGAGGTCTGTACTTGAGACTATGAGGCCAGAGAAGGGCCACGGACCCAGGCAGGGGAATTTGGGAAAACTTTCTGGAGAAGGGATGATTCATTTATCTGACACTTACATGACAAGTAACAATTGTCCAAGAGAAGAAGGGAGGAAAGGGCATTCCAAACAAAGAAGTAGCAGGGTGTACAAAAGGCCTCCAGGTCAGTGACGGAGTATGAGGCACTCTGCAAGCAGGTGTGCCCAGTGGCAGCACAGGGCTCCAGGGGTAGGCGTGGATGAGCCAGAGAGACAGGAACCATGAAAAGTCTTGTTGAGGAGTTTGGACTTTATCCTAATAGACCTAAAGCAAAGGAGCAAAATAATTAAATTTGTCTTTTAGAAAGATTACTTGGGCAGCAATTTAGAGACGGGATTGAAGGGTCTCAGGCTAGGGCAGGGAGAGGAGATTGGGGACGAACACAATGATCTAGCAATAAGAGATATTATAAGAGACTGAAATGAAGAATGAGGTGAGCCCGATTCAAGAGACACTTCGAAGGTGGAACTGACAGAGCATGGGGACCAACTTCACTTTGGCAGTCAGCAACTGGAAAAATGCGAGATGATTCCAGGTTTCCAAGTTGTACACCTAGATGCATGATGGTGGCATTCACTGGGATAAGCAACCTGGAGGACAAAGAATAGGCTTGACATGGAGTGAAATGATGAGTTTAGTTTGGGCCATGTTGTGGTAGAAGTGACTGGAAGGTATCCAAATAGGGATATCCAAGAGGCATGTAGATATATGTATATGGAGCTCACATGGGAAGGGGTGGGACCAGAGATGGAATCAGTAGCAATAAGAGACAAGAAGGCGGTATAGTTTGCCTGTCCTTACCAAGCACCTGTGTTACCACTGCTTTGCAAATGCAGTAAGTCCTCACTTAACATAATCAATAGGTTCTTGGAAGCTGTGACTTCAAGTGAAATGCATAAAGAAGCCAATTTTACCATTGGCTAATTGATATAAGCAAGAGTTAAGTTCCTACAGCATGTTTCCGGTTACAAAAACATCAACAAACTTCTAAATAAAGACCCAAAGTACTTGTAATAGTAAACATCGAATAAATGTGAGCTATACATACATCTAAGAAAGATTAATATTATTGGCAATAAGGGAGAAAAAATAAAAAGAAAGATGAACAAAAACTAATAATTATTTACCCAGTTATTCCAATTCAGTGTCACAGGCTCCTGGAGCCCATCCAGGTAGGTAGTTCAAGACACCAAAAATACTGGGGAAAAATGAAGACATTAGACACATTTTTTTTTTTTTTTCTTTGAGAAGGAGTCTTACTCTGTCACCCAGGCTGGAGTGCAGTGGCTCGATCTCAGCTCGCTGCAACTTCCGCCTCCTGGGCTCAAGCGATTCTCCTGTCTCAGCCTCCTGAGTAGCTGGGATTACAGGCACCCGCCGCCACACCTGGCTAATTTTTTATTTTTAGTAGAGACAGGGTTTCACCATGTTGGCCAGGCTGGTCTCAAACTCCTGACCTCAAGTGATCTGCCCGCCTCAGCCTCCCAAAGTGCTAGGATTACAGGCCTGAGCCACTGCACCCGGCCTAGATATACTTTTAAAACTAAGTGTTCAATACTAGAAAAATAAATAATTAAATATAGTGAAATACCACAAAACTATTACAAATTTTTACCAAAAAAAATGGATAGAAACATGGGAAATACTTATAAAGTTAAATGAAACAAAATTCAGAATACAAAATTGTATCTATACTTTGATTACAACTATGTCAAATATAGTCTATAAATACAATTTTAAAACCTGAAAGAAAATATTCTAAAATATTTATAGCAGATATTTCTGATTCCCCAGTATTATTTATTATATAAGTGATTTATAAATATATGAAAGGCAAAAGAGGGAGAAATAATCTTCCAGTAAACAATTTTAAAGACTTTGAAGTTTCCTCCTCCATTCGAATCTCTGTTTCTTTTTGCTTTTCTTCTGTGGGAAAAAGGAAGCAGGGGATCTTAGCTTCAGGAAGTGATGTAAAACATCTTAGCCAATTCTAAGTGCCAGGAAGACAAATTAAGACCTTCTCTTTAATTGGATGTAATCGGTTAAACAAGGCCACCTGTGGCTGAGATGGAGCCAAGTCCTAAGGAGCCCCAGAGACGGCAGCTTTGGTGTTAAGCAGCCCTAAAGGTCAGCACCACCCTCTGGGATGGGTTTTTGATTCTATATCAAGTTACAGGACTGTGCTAAAAGAAACATTCTAATCAAAACCTGAGCATGAGATTGGGTTTAGAAAGTGTTGATAAAAGGAAGAACGGTATAGAATTTTACCTTAAGGATTTATTTATTTAAAAATAATCAGCAACCTAGCTAGCAAAGAGTGCCTCCTGTGAGGCAGGTACGTTTTTAAGCATTTCACATATAATTAACTTGCTAATAAACCCGTGAAATAGATTCTACTGTTATCACAATCATCTTCACTTTGCAGATGAGGGAACTAAGGTACAGAGCGAGATTAAGCAATTGATTCAATGTCACACAGCTTATACAGGTAAAGCTGAGACTTGAACTCAGACAGTTTGACTCCATCATCTGTGTTCCTAACCACTACACTATGTTGCTTCTCAAGATCTAATATTATTCTTTGCTAGGTAATTGTGAATTCCAAACACACCTTAAATTAAACCTTGCATTTGGAGCAAATGTTTGCAGTGCATTGCGATCTCCTCATGATAGCATAATAATTGCACAAGCAGCATTTGGGAAGTGGGAAGGTCCAGTAAAGACTGAATTAGCAAAGCTGAAATTACCAAATGACAACAAATGTCACAGGCACTTTACACATTCAGTATTTCATCTGAGCTTCCAGCATAAGGTTGAGAAGATTTTGTAAGGAGTAATTGAGCATTCCCTTGGAAGCAGAAAACTGTTCACACATGGCTTTTTCACAGTGTGGCAGGACTGTCTTTGCCACATCTAGGATAGAATCCGGGTTGGCAATGGGAGAAGACTCCTAAAAGAGTGGATAGCCCATATTCTTTTTAGCCAAGAATTATGTCCTCAGAAATTCTCCAAAGGTCCAAGTACCCTTTGAACTCCTGTATGAAGTGACAACAAACATCATAATGCAAGTCTAAAAATAAGCTCATCATCTTCTCCCCAAACCAATTCTTCATTCCAGATTCCTTTACTCAGTAAATGGCACTTCCATTACCTAGTTGTCTAAGCTACCAGACATTGTGATTGCCTCTCCCAATATCCATCCTCCCCCAAGCCATGATTGTGAGTCCACCATGGTAATGTCATCTTCCTTGCTAGTGATTGGTTGAGGTGGGCAGCTCCAAGTCTGTCTAGCCAATGAAGCATGAGGAGAGACTTGCCCCAGACTTCTCAGAAAAAAGAGGCTAATTTCTCCCCCCATTCTATCTGAACAACATCAAAAAATGTCACTGGGGGTGGCCACAAATTGATTTGATGGAAAAACCAGCCTTAGGATGAAGCCAATGCTAGGGATGGCAGAGTAGAGACAAGGAATGTTGGGCTGATGAACCCATAAGCCCTGAAGCTGGTTCCAGTGGTAAATCTGTTATTTGAGATAATACATTTTCTTTGTTTTCGCCAGCACAAGAAAGGGTTTCAATTTTTTTTGCAACAGAAAGCACCCTCACTGATATATTTTGCACATTCAAATAATCATCAAGTCCAGTTGTATTAGTTCGTTTTTCACACTGCTATAAAGAATACTACCTGAGACTGGATAATTATAAAGGAAAGAGGTTTAATTGACCTACAGTTCCACAGGCTTAACAGGAAGCACGGCTAGACGGCCTCAGGAAACTTACCATCATGGCGGAAGGCGAAGGGGCACGTTCTCCACCAGGAAGCAGGAGGGAGTGAAGAGCAAGTGTGGGGGAACTGCCCTTTATAAAACCATCAGATCTTGTGAGACTTATTCACTATCACAAGACCAGCATGGGGAAAACCGCCCCCATGATCCAGTCAACTCCCACTAGTTTCCTAGTTTCCTCCCTTGACACGTGGGGATTATGGCGATTACAATTCAAGATGAGATTTGGGTGGGGACACAGAACCAAACCATATTACCAGTCTACTCTCCTTCCTAAGTATTTTGAAACCTATACACCTCTGTCTGTCCTCATTACTAATAATGATCCTGATCAGGCTACCAATGAGGTCTCTCATCTGAATTACTCCAAAGTCTCCTAACTAATTCCAAAATGCCTTCATTCATTTCAGTAGGCCTAAAGACAAAGTAAGAAAAAACATGGGCCAGATGTGGTGGCTCATGCCTGTAATCCCAACACTTTGGGAGGATGAGGCAGGTGGATCACCTGAGGTCAGGAATTCAAGACCAGCCTAGCCAACATGGCGAAATCCCATCTCTACTAAAAATACAAAATGAGCCGGGCATTGGTGGCACATGCCTGTAATCCCAGCTACGTAGGAGGCTGAGGCAGGAGAATCGCTTGAACCTGGGAGGCAGAGGTTGCAGTGAGCCAAGATCACACCATTGTACTCCAGCCTGGGCAACAAGAGTGAAACTTCGTCTAAAAAAAGAGAGAGAGAGAGAAAGAATATGGAAGGATGATGCTATGACAAGCACAAGATTTCCTTATCTAGTCATAGGGCAAAATTTGAGTGACACCATGCCTCAGTTCATCCTAAAAGACACAAACCTCCACTCTTAGCTCCTCTGACCTAATGGATCATCTACTGAGTGGGCTTTTGGAACCACCTCAAGGTGGTCATATCACTTCATTCATATCCTCATCTCTGAGACATCCTTTGCACTGGTTGCTTGCTGCCTTGGCAGTAATCCCAAATGACAGCAACTTCAGTTGAGTCCAAGTTATTCCCATCAGTCTCTGGACCAACCTTTATGGTGTGGCTTCACTTGGATACACTGGGGCCATCTTTGTAGGAAATGCAGCTATTTCCATCCGTCCTGATTTCAGTTAGACTCTACAAGTACTTGGTGATTGTCTACTCTGCTGTGAATGTGCCAGACCTTAAAAAGGGCAGACAGTGAGTGTATCCTGTTATCTGTACCCCTGTATTTAACGCATAGTTAAATGCCCAATATTTAACACATAGTTTTAGTGGTACTCAAAGCTATTTGTTAATGAGAGTTCCCTTTGCCCCACATCCTTGCTAGCATTTTTTATTTTTATTTTTATTTTGAGACACAGTCTCACTCTGTTGCCCAGGCTCTAGTGCAGTGGTGCCATCATGGCTCAATGCAACCTCTGCCTCCCGAGTTCAAGCAATTCTCGGCAATTTTTATTTTTTGTCTTTTTGATATTATTTTTTTTAACTGGAGGGAGATGATATCTCATTTTGGTTTTGATTTGCATTTCCATGATGGTTAGTGATGAGCATTTTTTCATATCTGTTGGCCATTTGTATGTCTTCTTGTAATATCGGTTCAGATCATTTGCCCATTTTTAAATCAAATTATTTAGTTTTTTGCTACTGATTTGTTTGAGTTCCTTATATGTTCTGGTTATTAAACTGTGGTTGGGCAGTTTGCAAATATTTTCTCCCTTTTTTTTTTTTTCAAGACAGGCCTCACTCTGTCACCCAAGCTGGAGTGCAGTAGTACAATCATAGTTCACTGCAGCCTCAAACTACCAAGTAGCTAAAACCACAGTCATGCACCATCACGCCTGGCTAATTTTTATTTTTGTAAAGATGGGGTCTCATTATGTTGCCTACACTGGTCTTGAACTCCTAGCCTCAATCAATCCTCCCACTTCAGCCTCCAAAAGCACCAGGATTTCAGACATAAGCCACCTTGGCCAGCAATCTTTCATTCTTTAGGTTTCATTCTTTAGGTTTCTTAAAGAATAAAGAAAATCTCTTTACTCTTTTGATTGTTTCTTTGTTGCATAGAACCCTGTTAGCTTGATATAAGCCCATTTGTATACTTTTTAATACATTGTTGATGGGAATGTAAATTAGTGCAGCCACAATGGAAAACAGTAGGGAAGTTCCTCAAAAAACTGAAAATACACCTGCCATATGATCCTGCAATCCCACTGAGATACATATATGTGTGTGTGTCTGTGTGTATGTATAATATAAATGAATAATATATATATAATACATATATATATTATATAAAAGAAAGGAGATCAGGTCAAAGAGGTATCTGCACTCCCATGTTTACTGCAGCACTATTCACAGTAGCTAAGATATGGAACCAACTTACATGTCCATCAATGAATGAATGGATAAAGAAAATGTGTATCTATATACACATTGATATGTATATATACAATAAAATACTATTCAGTCATAAAAAATAATGGAATTCTATCATTTGCAGTAGCATAAATGAGCATGGAGGACATTATAAAAAGTGAAATAAGCCAAGCACAGAAAGACAAATATTGCGTGTTCTCACTCATATGTGGGAGCTAAAAATGTTGATGTTATAGAGGTAGAGAGTAGAATGATAAAGGGGGGGTTGGGGTATACAGAGGTTGTTTATGGGTAAAAACATGCTGTTAGATTGAAAGAATAAGTTCTAGTGTTCCATAGCACAATAGGCTAACTATAGTTAGCAATAATTTACTGTGTATTTCAAAATAGCTAAAAGTGAACATTTGGAATGTTTCCAACACAAATAAATAATAAGTGTTTTAGATGATGGATATCCCAATAACCCTGATTTGAACATTACACATTGTATGCATGTATCAAAATATTACAAGTACCCTTAAAATATGTACAACTACTAGGTATCAATTTAAATAATTGTTAAATGAGTCAAAGAAAGATATATTGGTGAATATATGTTAGTCAGTACTCCAGCAACACATAATCTATTGAAGAGATAAACATGAATATAGTTTACCACAAGGCTCAATGGTGTATAAAATGCAAAACAAAAACATGTACTGATGCTTATTAAACTCAAGTCCCTCTTCTAAGGACTTTATATGTATTCCTCTCTTATCTGCAGTTTTGCCTTCCATGATTTCAGTTACCAGTAGTCAACTGTGGTCTAAAAATATTAATTGAAAAATTTCAGAAATAAACAAAAGTTTGAAATTGCAAACTCTTCTGAGTAGCATGATGAAATCTCATGCTATCCTGCTCCATTGCGTCCAGGATATGAGTCATCCCTTTGTCCAGCTTATCCACATGCTACCCGCCTGTTAGTCACTTCATCAGATCAAAACAACATAGTACAATATGTATAGGGTTCAGTACTATCCAAGGTTTCAGGCATCCACTGGGGGTTTTGGAACATATCAGTCACAGATTAGAGGGGACTACTGTATTAATTTATTAAATCCTCACAGCGACTCTTTAAATACGTACTAGTATTATCTATATTTTTCAGAATAAACTGATGCTCAAAGAGGTTAAATATGTTGCCCAGGATTGCACAGCTGGTGGTGTGAAGAAGCAGATGAATTTGAAAATGCAGGAGGAAGATATTTATTTAATGAAGGATCTGAGAAAGCATCACATCATGGAAAAATGGGTTTTGAGCTAGACCTTCAGGATGAAGTAGGTATTCAATGTGCTAGGGGGTGGGTGGCATATTAGATTGAGTAAGACATAGAAGTGGATTTTCAGGGAAAAACAAATAGTCACATGTGGCTGTTGTGTATGCCTACACCCTGGGTATAGGGTGGGAATTAAGTGAGTGGATATGATGGAAATTACGACTGGGCAGATGGTCATTAGCTCAGTTGTGGAGGGTCTCTAGTGGCCCACCCAGCTTCCAATCCCTACTATATCCTCATAGATGTTCTGTAATCTTCCATCCCTAATCAGCCTGGGTACTTCTGGTGAAGTTAACCCTATACCCAGGGGCAGAGTAGCTCCTGATTTGCTTAAGCCAATCAACATTTTCCATTCCCCTGGCCACAAGATGGGTTTGAGGTTGGGCCTGCGACCCAGCCCTATCCAATCAAGTGAATGTCCTTGATCCAATCAAGGACTCTTGCCCAGCATTCTGGGACAGAACTCTCTCTCTCTCTCTCTTTCTCTCTCCCTTTGAAAGTGTGGAAATGTGTAGTCTACAAGCTGTGGCCTCCTTGCAAGTACAGGGCCAGCCCCAGCCAGACTCAGTACAGAAAGAAGCTGGCACCTGAGGAAGCATGGCAGGGAGACACAAAGAAACTTAGTCCCTGGTCACATCATTGAGCCACTGGATTGAACCATCCTATAGCCCGTTCTCCCATCTCTGGACCTTCCTGTCACATGAACCTAGAAAGCACCTTTTTTTTTTTTTTTTTTTTTTTTTGAGACAGAGTCTCACTTTGTTGTCCAGGCTGGAGTACAGTGGCATGATCATGGCTCACTGCAAGCTCCACTTACCAGGCTCAAGCGATCCTCCCACCTCAGTCTCCCAGCTAGCTGGAACTACAGGCACATGCCACCTTGCCTGGCTAATTTTTCAATTTTTTTGTAGAGACAGGGTTCTAACTGGTTGCCTAGGCTGATCTCAAACTCCTGAGCTCAAGTGATCTGTGTGCCTCAGCCTCCCGAAGTGCTGGGATTACAGGCATGAGTCACCGTGCCCAGAAAGTAAATTTTCTATTTAAGCAGCGTGAGTCAGGTTTTCTGTTACTTGCAATATAAAGTCTTCAATAGTAGGATGTGTGGGGGTTTTTTGTTTGTTTGTTTTTTGAGACAGAGTCTCACTCTGACACCCAGGCTGGAGTGCAGTGGCACAATCTCAGCTCACTGCAACCTCTGCCTTCCAGCTTCAAGCAATTCTGGCACCTCAGCCTTTCAGGTAGCTGGGATTACAGGTGCGCCTCACCATGCCCAGCTAATTTTTATATTTTTAGTACAGACAGGGTTTTGCCATGTTGGCCAGGCTGGTCTCGAACTCCTGCCCTCAAGTGATCCGCCCGCCTAGGCCTCCCAAAGTGCTGGGATTACAGGTGTGAGCCACTGTGCCTGGCCAGGATGGTGGTTTTAAATCATTGTTCAGGTAAGTGGTTTAAAAAGCTTACTCCCTGGCCACATGGAGGGTAAATTGGTTGGCAAATCCCAAAGCAAGGGGATGGCTGGAAACCACTGCAATCTGCCCAGTGAGAATCAGTGCAGGCAAGATTTAAAGAGCTGACAGTGGACAGAGAAGATCTGAAAGAAGAAGCATGTGTGCACAACTTGTTTAAAATGGGTTGTTAAATTTATCTGGGATTGAAAGCTTCATTTGTTCTTCTATTTAATCCCACTGGAATAAAGGATTGTTTGGAAAAAAAAAAAAAAAAACAACTTCTAAGATTGTATCAGGTACCTGAAGTCTGTTACTACTCTCATCCCTAAGAGAAAGGAAAAGAGGCCATCTAGGGTGGCTCACGCCTGTACTCCCAGATACTCGGAGGCTGAGGCAGGAGAATTACTTGAACCTGGGAGGTGGAGGCTGCAGTGAGCCCAGATCACACCATTGCACTCCAGCCTGGGTGACAGAGCTAGACTCCATCCCAAAAAAAAAAGGAAAAGAGAATTACCTCCATTAGTTATTGCTCATTCATTCATTATATCCCATATTCCATACTAAATAGTTCATCTTTCCAGGTATTTCTGTCCTTCACATGTTTACAGCCTGATGTCATATCCCTCAAAGTCATCAAGTAACTCAGTTCCACCTACTTAGCTCCTTTAAATCTTTCTTCATATATCAGATCCTTTCATTCCTCTGCACATAAGAACTTATACTCACATATATTCCCTCCATTCTATTTCACAGCTCTTTAGTGGCAATGGCCCAGTGTGTACAATCTGTTCCATGTGTCCAGACTCGGCAGGAAATAGGGAGCGGGAGAACAGGCAGTGAAATTCTGTAGGTCAAACAGAAGGCTAGGATGGATGCCATTATTGTATTGTGCTTGAAGTGAGAGGACCAGGTTTGCAGCCTATCTGTGCTCAGCTGCATGACTTGGGACAAGCCACTTGACCTTTTGAACCTTGGTATCTTCAGTTATAAAACACAAATGATTTTTAGCCCATAAGGGGCTCGAGTCTATCTTATATTCTTCCTTCATCCCCTCTCCTTTATTCCCTGAGGAGAATGAGGGCTGGCAAGGATGAATCAAGGGCTTGTTCCTGGGCCAACTGGTGAGTAGTGTGGTCTCATCCTCTAAAGAATTATAATCTCTTTGAATTGCAAATCCCTCATGGCTAGTAACTCTGGATAGGTCCTGGGCTACTCCAGCCTAGGAGCTATTCTGCTCTGATAAAGTAAAATAAGCCAGGCTTGCTGTAGGCTTAGAAAGAATCGCCTTTTCCTCTCCTTTGCTTATCTCATATTTTCTTGAACCAGCCTCTCCTTGGAAAAACTCACGGCAGAAAAACTGAGGGCTGAGAATTAAGTAAAGCTTGGTGGCAGGCAAGTGAAGCTTGGGGCCTACTTACCACATTGCTGCCTCTGCTCTGTCAGGAGGAGCCCTACAAGCAGTCCAGCCTGGCTTCCGGGCATGCCCCTGGGTTCAGGGGCAAAAGACTTTGCCTTGGCTTCAGCACATGTCTCTGGGGACAGAGGCAAGGCAGTATGGCACTTCACGCTTTCGGCTTCTCCTAATCTTTTTCCACCTCGATAGAACTAATCCTAATAGCACCCTCTTATAGGATTGTTATGACAATGTAATGAGATCATCTAAGTGAAAACTATTCAAAAATGGAAAGTAACGGTCTTGAATTTTAAATTCTTCCTATTTTAGTTTCTTCATCTGTTAAACGTAGTTTTTAAAAACTGAAAAACAAACATACTCGTGAGTCTTTTGAGGGATTGCAAGAGGAAAAAAAACACAATCCAGGAGGGGCGTGGTGCTCACGCCTGTAATCCCAGGACTTTGGGAAGCCAAGATGAGTGGATCACCTGAGGTCAGGAGTTCAAGACCATCCTGGCCAACATGGTGAAACCCCATCTCTACTAAAAATACAAAAATTAGCCAGGCATGGTGGCATGTGTCTGTAGTCCCAGCTACTCGGGGGCTGAGGCAGGAGAATCACATGAAGCGAGGAGGCAGATGTTGCAGTGAGCCCAGATTGTGCCGTTGCACTCCACCCTGGGAGTCAGAGCAAGACTCTGTTTCAAGAAATAAAAAAAAAAAAAAGGCAATTTATAGTCATGGAAATTATTTCATTTTAACTTTATTAACAGTTTTGGCACTGAAATCCTCTATAAAGTGAATATACGGTTAGCCCTCTTATAGGTCTTATGCCTATTAATGATCTTGTCAATCTGCAGAAAATGGAGCCACCCATTTACTATAATGTCTCATTGAGAAGATATAGTTGGTTTTACTCTTAACACTGCACCACTGTTTCAGTTTAGATTCCTGGTAATTACATAAGTCCTAGCAGTAAGAAGCCTCTTCTGATTCACAGTGACCCTACCCCATAAGCAAGATCTGTCAGTCTATTCTATAGTTCACATGTATTGTATTGTGCACAATTGCTGACCCTCATGTAGTTCACAAGTAGAAAGCATGGCCCGGCCCTGTAGGAGCTATACTCCAGGCAGCAGGCATTGATCTTATAGATACAAACAGATACATATTTCAGCCCATCTCCTACATATGTTCCAAACATCATGTCTTCCCTAACATAAAGAACTAGACATATTGGGGCTTTAAACAAGGTCTAATTTCCTGAAAGCACAGCCAGCATGTCAGGGGGAAAAAACAAAAACAAAAAAAACTTCAAGAGTGGAAATGCTATTAAAAAAATCTGGGAGTTTTTCTATCTTTAAGGCAGTAGATGAATGGGTGCCTAAAGATAATTATACCAGACTGGAAGTAAAAATCAGCCAAATAACCGTACGACTAAGAGCAGATCTCGCCAAAGCCTCAGCATTATCATAATGCAGGTGTTACTGCACCCCATCTTCCTTCCTCAAGGGGTGCCTTTGCTGAGCCCTGGTGCTATGAAAGGGCTGAGTCTTTCTCTCTTCAATCTCTGCGCCTCTAGTTGGAGGATTCCAGGGGATTCCGTGTCGGAGCCCACACCAGAGGCTGGAAAGAAAGAGGTTGGACACGCATTTGCCCCTTGCCCTGGACACCCTGATGCTGGGGAGCTGGCACCATCTGGGAGGAGAATCACAGTGTCAGAGGACAGCAGAGACCTTCTGCATCCTGTCACCTGCCCTCATGCCGCATAAAGAGAAAGCTGCCAGGCACAGGCCTCCCAGGAAGGGATTGATTCCAACGTATCTCTGTCATTTGTCCCATATCTGCTTTTTAAGTACGCAGACTAAGCCAGACCCTCATGACTAAGTATGTACACTGGTGAACAAAAAGACTTCCCAGGTCCTAGAGCAAAGATGAGGATGAATCCTTCCATTCGGGTGTAAGTTTCTCACCAAAAGAGATCCAGGCCTCCTGTTTCCTCACTAGTGGATCTTAAGGGCATCTCTGCCTTGACAACCCTAACACTAATATCTAACACTCAAAACATTCCTTTTTCTCAGCATAATGTTACTGGTAAAATATATTTTTTATATATTAGCCCTGCCCTTCTTACACGGGGGTGCAGTGGGCTTGCTCCGGCTAGTTTGAGGCCACTAGCCTTAAACACTTTGTGTTCACTCTCTGAATAACCCAAGGAAATGGCCAGTACAAATTCTTTGGATTCAGCTTCTGCCTGACAGAGGGAGGTAAGAGTAGTGGTCGGGGTGTGGGAGTTTCACTTTCTCAATGCCCGAACCTCAGTTAGCACTTTAGAGGACAGAGGGAAGATTCTGAAATTTTCTGTGTAGGAATTCAAAATGATTACTTGACTAAATTTGCATTTCTGAGACAAGCATTTGTAATCACCCCTAAATAAATTATAAATTTCATTCTGTCACAGAGTCTGAATCAATGAGATTTTGATGGATTTCTATTTTGTGGGTGGAGACGGGGAAGATGCCTTGAGGCTGAGGGACTTGCAGGAGGTGACTCTGCTCACGCAGACTCTTGACCTTTCACCAAGGATGGCTTGGGCGTGCCGGGTTAACAGGCTCCTAAACCTGCCTGGAGCAGTACGAAAACAAACATCAACATTCTCTGCACAGGCTGAAGCTCTGAAATGTTCCAGCAACCCACATTACAGAATGCAATTTCAATTCCAATTAACCATATCACTAAATCATTCAAAAGTCACCTGGGGCAGTGTATTGCAAATTGACAGCCACTGCCCACTCAGTTTAACAGGCAATGACCAGTGTTTTCTAAAAATAAGAAAAAGAGTATAATAGAAAACATTAGAGTACTTTGCACATTATGAAGTATTGTTTTATGAAATACTTAGTTCAGGCAGGTAAGTAGGTGATGCATCATTACTGTGGGCTGGATCATAATACGCAATGCATTTTTACTATGCTCTTGGTCGAGTAGACAAACAATGGCTAAAGTGTGCTCTCATCATTTAGTCCTCCCGTTCTTTCTTTCTTTTTTATTTTTTTTCAATGGGTCTTTACAGCAAAAACTGGAAAGCCTGCTAGACAAATTCTGTAAGAGTTGTTAACACTTTTTTTTTTAACTCTTCTTTTTCAGTGCTGCCAAATAAACAGTGTGCTTCCTTATCATTCCCTTGCATTCATATTCCCCAGAGATACCAAATAGCCTCTGCATACCCATCAGGGTTTTACCTGCCTTGAAGGAGTGATTGCAAGACATATATTACTTTTTAGGATGGGAACAGCATGGGTAAAATGAGAGTCACTCATGAAAATTCCACGCATTTTGCAGAACTTAACAAACTGATCACACACACCTTTTCTTTTTCTGGTCAAGGTCATAAGTTGTTTTCAGGATTTGGTCTGAGATTCATCAGAGTCCCATGCATCGTGACACCTTCTATTGCTAGGCTTCTAAAACCCTGTGTATTTGCACAGGTCCTCTGTGGACAGTGAGCTGGACTGACCTCACAACCCTCCAGAATGTTCAGTGGCTGAGAATGACCCACTCCCAGCAAATTTCTGCAGCCAAGGGGTTAATCCTCCCTGAGCTGAAGCCTGACATGGTGTGAACCACAACCTCCCCCTCACAGCTGTTTTAGCATTTCACGTGCCTGACAAGAAGCATTTATGTCTGACCTAAACCTCACCTGTTGCAACGTGACTCCATTCATTCATTCTGTCACCAGAGTGACGGTCACCAGATATTTGTGGAGCCCCTGCAATGGGCTTGTCATTGCACGAGGTGCTGCAGAGCTCACAGTTCCGCCACAGAGACAACACACTCATAAATCACAATGCCAGGCCACATGTGCGGCAAAGGCCATGAGGCTCTAGGTGTGCAGAGAGGGGACAAAGAGGGTTGGCCTTAGAAGGTCTGGTGTGGCTCACAGAAAGGCTGGTTATGACTTGCAGTCATGTAAGTGCAGATGAAGAATAGTTGATATCTTCCTCCTATGATTAATTCTCCCCAAACTTCTCTTTTGACTCTTGATGAAACATTCTCAATGAATTTTTCTTTTTGTATCCAACTGTTAGTCCTTCCAGCAATTTTATCGTCAAAGTCTGTTAATTTTCTATCTCTTCTTGCTGTCGGGTGAATGTTGTGTCGTTTGTTAAAATCCTAAACCCCAAGTACAATGGTATGAGGAGGTGGGGCCTTTAAGAGGTGATCAGGTCATGAAGGTGGAGCCCTCACAAGTTCATTTAGTGCCATTATAAAAAGACCCCCAAGAGACCCTCGCCTCTTCTCCCATGTGAGGATACAGAAAAAAAGACAGTGTCGATGAACCAGGAAGGAGGGCCCTCACCAGACACTGAATCTGCCAGCACTTTGATCTTGAACTTCCCAGCCTCAGAACTGGGAAAAATAAATTTCTATTGTTTATGAGTTATCCAGGTTATGGTGTTTTGTTATAGCAGCCCAAATGGACCAGGACTCTCCCTGTATAATGTAAGTTCTATGAAAGTAAGGACTTTGTCTATTTTGTTCCTTGCTCTACCTTCAGCATCTAGTACAGTGCCTGGCAATAAATATTTGTTCAACAAATGTATGAGCCCACTTTCTATGGGCTTCATTAGGCTGAGATGGGGATGGGGGCTAATGTTTAACATGGGTTCCTATTACAAATAATGAAACCAACATCTCAAGCTCTCCTTCCTACCCATTGTTGTAGGACCTCCATCCCCTCCAGGTCTCTCCTGCTTGTTTCTGAGCATTCCTGGAGATGTTTTCAGTGTGCACAGGAACAAGTGCTGAAGATGTGGCTACCACACTGGAAATCTCAACAAGCTGAGGAGGTTCTGTGTTCTCTAAAGCCCTCTGTGCATCACATGGCTGTAAGCCATGAAGAAAGGGAAAGAACACCTCCTTCTCGCCTTGTATCACCTCTTCTCACACAGGCACCAAAGCACTATGACGCTGTGCTTTGTAGTTGGAGGTTTTGTATCGAAAATGCTTCCCATATTTACTTACAGGTCTTATTTCCTCTGGATCCAGACATGAGTACAGGAAGAGCTCATCTGAGGACAAGGAGCAGTATTCAGACTCTCTCCTTCCTCCCTGCTGGTCATCAAGACATTCAGAGTAGCTGAACTTAATAGGCCAGCTCTTCCTTAGGGTGAGGGACTCCCATGAGGCTATTCAGCGCCCTCTGCAAAGGAGTCTACTCCTAGCCCACTAACCATTACCAGGCTGTCTAGATTCCAGCAGTGACCATGTTCAACCTTGAGCTTGAGAGCCACTACAAAATCCTTTCTTATAAATAGAGCTTTGGATTGGCATAGAAATTTGGCATGTACCTGACCAAGCCTGTGTATGTATCATTGGTATTTTATGTCATATTCTAGAGCTTGCACGTGTCCAGGAAGTCTAGTGAATTCGACCATGAATCCAGACATGGCCAGTGGCTACATCCTGTGGGAAGACACTGTGCTTCTCTCCGACCCATGAACACTCTGCTAGTCAAGCTCTCTGTCACAAAGACAACTTGAAGAGACAGTGTGGACCTCAGAGAAGATACCATCATCACTCTTACCAATACAACTGTAGTGAATAGGACCCCTATTATTCCTTAGATCAAAAGGACAGCTCATTCAACAGTGTCTTCATGGCACGCCAGCAATTTGCATAGGATGTTCATAATCGCACTTTGATTATCTAGTGCTTTGTGGATGTGTTGTGTATTATAGAAATCCATTTGCAACATGAAGGCAAATTTTCTCTTTTGTTTGTTCGTTTGTTTATCTGAAAATCAACAAATGGTTATAGAATGCCTACTATGTGCCAGGGACTTCTGGTCACAGCCTCAAACAAAAGAGATTTTTCTGTATTCTATTCTTCTGTACCTTACCATAAGTAAGAGCATTACACAGGTAAGAAAACAGTTAAATAATAAGATAATTTCACAGAATCATAACTTTGGGCCTGGTGTGGTGGCTAATGCTTGTAATCCCAGCACTTTGGGAGACTAAAATGGGAGGATCACTTGAGCCCAGGAGTTCAAGACAAGCCCTAGCAACATAGTGAGACCACTCCCCCCAGCCCCGAAAAAAATGGAAAAATTAGCCAAGAATGGTGGTGCACACCTGTAGTCACACTTACTCTGGAGGCTGAGGTGGGAGGATTGCTTGAGCCTGGGAGGTAAATGTTATGAGCCCAGGAGCTGAAGATGAAGGTTATTGCTTGAGCCCTGGTGGTGAAGCTAAGATGGTGCCACTGCACTCCAGTCTGGGCAACAGAGCAAGACCCTGTCTCAAAAAAAATAAAATAAAATAAAAGCTAAATTTTATGAAAAAATTATACAAAATAAATTCTATGAAAAGAATTATGCAGAGCAGTCTGACACAAAAGGTGGCTGGGATTTGCTGGCCTATGTCATTCACATCCCCTTGTCCCTTGCAGTTTCTAGAGTACATGCCAGAAGGTGAAATGCTTGTTTCCCCATCCTCCCTTACTGCTAAGGGAGTAGCAACCTGACACAAATCCATGGCTCCAAACAAAATACCCTGAGGAACACTTTCCTGCCCAATAAAATGCAGAGCCAGAGCCACATAAGAAAAGACTTTGATCCTTTAAACTCTCCCTTCTCCTTGTTTGAAACAAAGACATAATGCCCAGAGGCACAGCAGCTATCTTGCAATCATGGAGTGATCATCACATGGAAGAATGTCATGATGTTAATGACTACCGCAGAGTAGGAAGCAAGAAGGAGCCTGCATCCCTGCTGTCACCATTGAGCCCTGCAGAGCCTTCACCTAACTACCCTGGACATCTTCATCTGTGTGAGACAAATAAAGCTCCATCCATTTAGGCCTTTGTTAAGTTTGTTCTTATTTGGAGCCAAACACTTTACTAACTACTAGAGAGACGTACAGCTGTGGGTCAGAAGCCAATTTAGGCCAGGCATGGTGCCTCACGCCTGTAATCCCAGCACTTTGGGGGTCCGAGGTGGGCAGATCATGAAGTCAGGAGTTCGAGACCAGCCTGGCCAACATAGTGAAACCCCACCTCTACTAAAAATACAAAAATTAGCTGGGCATGGTGACACACGCCTGTAATCCCAGCTACTCAGGAGGCTGAGGCAGAAGAATAGCTTGAACCTGGGAGGCGGAGGTTGCAGTGAGCCGAGACCACGCCATTGCACTCCAGCCTGGGTGACAGAGCGAGCCTCTATCTCAAGAAAAAAAAGCTAAAGCTAGTTTAACCATGTGGTTATGGAAGTCTTCTCTGAGGAGATGACATTTGAGTTGAGACCTAAATGATAAAAAGGAGCCAGCCATGTAAAGATCTGGGGAAAAGAATTCCAGGCAGAAAGAATAGCAAGTGCAAAGGCCCTTAGACAGAACTAGGTCAGCCATGTTTAAGGAACAGAGAAGATGTGCCTGAAGCACCGTGAATGAGGGGGATTTCAATCATGGTGGAGGCCCCAGAGGGTGGGGGCTAGACCTTGGGTAACCCTCTACGCCTACCCAAAACTCCGAATTTTATTTTAATACCAAGGAGCAGATTTGAGATAGATGGATTTGAGATATGTTTTGGCAGTAAACCCTTCAACAGGACTCATTGATGGAGCAAATGTAGAATAAGGGAAATACAGGTGACTCCTAGATCTTTGTTCTGAACGCTATGTGGAAGATGGAGCCATTGCATGAGTGGGGAAGAATGTAGGAGGTCCGGGTTGGGAAAAGGGAGGGAATGCTGAACCAATTGTATTTTATGTGACATTTGAGATGCCCATTACAATTGCAAGTGGCAGTGTCATATAGGAAGCTGGATACATGAATCTGAAGCTCCAGGGAGAAATGAGGGCTAGAGACAAACATTTGGAACTATCCACATACTGATGCCATTTAAGTCATGGGTCTGGATGTGATTTCCTGGCCGGAGAATATAGAGAAAGAAGTTGAGGCCAGGTGCAGTGGCTCACGCCTATAATCCCAGCACTTTGGGAGGCTGAGTGGGGAGGACTGCTTGAAGCCAGGAGCTGGAGACCAGCCTGGGCAACACAGTGAGATGCTATCTCTACAAAAAAATAAAAATAATTAGCTGGGTGTGGTGGTGCATACTGTGGT